TAAGAAGTCCAAACTAGACTGCTTTTTGGAAGTAAAATTTTGAGAATTTAATGGTCAACATTTCCTTCATATTTGAGAATTTTTTTTTACAAATGGCAGTTCAAACTTCAATATGAGCCCATCTTTTTGGGCACCAAACAGCCAAGTGTATGCAAGTTTCTAAGTTCTAAGTTCTAACAAATCTGAAATGCTATTCTAACTTTTGGAGACTGAAATGCTATTCTAGTTTCTAACAAATCTGAAATCGTATTGCAATGTCAGTTGTATGCAACTGCACAAATCATAATACATTGTTCATGATTCCCCAAAAATAATACATTCTTCATGACAATCATGATCAAACAAAAAGCAACTATTGTTCACCCAAAAAGCAAAAATATTAGTTAAAAAAACTACATTAGCAATCAGCTCATGCACCCTATGTCATCTCATCCTCTTCATCCAACTGAAAATCCATGTCCATATTTGTGTCTTCTGAATCTGATTCAAATTCGTCGTCATATAGTTCTCTAAGTCTAGAACTTCTTCTTGGTTGGGACAGTTCATTGCCTTCAGAAACTTCATCAACAACATGATTTATCTCTTCAACTGTTTCATTGACATCAACCCAACCATCCTTGTGCATTCCTAGCATCACTTGCTAGTAGATCAATATACTCATCCATTTCTTTCTTTTTCCTTTTCAGTAGTTTTGCATTAAATTGGACATAAACAAGACAGTTTAGCTGTTTCACATCTAATCTATTTCTTTTCTTCGAATGAATCTAACCATTAAAAAAATCAATGGTTAAATAATAAAATTACTTTGGATACGAAAATTTATAATCTATTTCTAAAGTAAGTTAAATTGTAAAACTTTAAATTAAAGTAATGAAAGTTCAAATTACTAACCCATTCAAAAGTACTCTAGTTTCGTTCACACCCAGATGAACTACTAGTTAAAGACAGAATCTTGATAGCTAATTTCTGCAAATTAGGCACTTGATGTCCGTAGGTTGTCCACCAATTGGGTGAAAAAAAATATTTATGAAAAGATTAAGGGTGAACAAAATAATATGAACATATAAAGCATAAAGTATAAAAGTGATAATATAGCTAGTTAGCTACTGGAACTGTTCCATGCAGGCAGATGGTTTTTCTTTATCATTACCGGAACATGGGTTTTATTTCTTTTATAGTATGCAGGCTGATTTTTCAGACTGAAGTTTATTCTCTTTTCTCAACTCTCAAACATACTGAGATTGAGAGATTATATACCAAATGTCTAAACCTCTTATGTATAAATAAAAAAAAACCATAACACAGTAATAAAAAGTAGATATTCAGATGCATTGAGAAGAAATGATAGAACTTAAAAGTAAAAAACTAGACCTGGATCAAACTTTCCATCATTTACTTGACATCCCTTAATTGCCAATGCTCTTCCAAAATGTCCCCGTTTGTTCTTGTACACATTGATCTCATTGTTGACAACTTCGTTTTGCTTCTCGAAATCCTCATAATAAAAAGTCTCAACACGATTAGAAATCCATCCATAACCAATTCATCCAATTGAATGTTTACATCCTTATAGAAATAATAAGGATTCAAAAGGTAAGCAGTAAGATGCAAGTGGCTATCTAGCCTATCTTTCTGTTTTTCCTCAATAATAGCAAGTATAGGCTGGAAGTTTCTTTCAAGATTATTACTAGCTTCCTTTATGGAGTTCTTTGCCTCCAATAGTTTTCCATAAATGAAATCCATTGTTGGCTTATCCCCATCTGCAAATCGAAGGACATTCACCAAAGGAGCATAAATGTTCAAGCATAAATTTAAAGAACTCCAAAAAGCCGTACTCATTACAGTTGCTAAAGCATGCTTCCCCTTAGCTGTTTTTGAGAACTCTAAATAGGGGAAAAACAAGAAGAATACTAGGAATGCATTAAAAACTCATTAGATTGCATCAAAAACTCATTACAAGCATAAATCCATGATTTCAGTTGCTAAAGCATGCTTCCCCTTAGTCTAGAACTCCTTAATATATAGGGGAAAAACAAAAAGGCCGTTTAGAAAATGAAGTGACATGCATAAATAACCGTTCGTTTAGAAAATTAATAATCGTTCGTTTAGAAAAATAATATTTATGTCTCAGATAGAAAAATAATATCTTATCATTATAGTATGTTTATTCCAATAACTTTTTAAACGAACGGTTATTTATGGCACCTTATAATAATAAATAGGGAAAATAACTTTAAATAATACAAACTATCTTCGATGAACCAATAATAATACATACTTTAGTGTAGAACAAAAACAAAATATAATGGAGTCACTTTTTTTAAAAAAAAAAACACTAATTTAAGACATTAAAAACTAATATCGAACCAATAAATAATATTCGAAAATACGCTTACTAACTTTATATTTTGATACCAGTTTTTTATGAATTAAATGACTAATGATTTAGTAAAGAATTGGTATGTATTAGTTTTAGTACTATTTATGTTGTTTTCCCTTGCCAAAAAAAGTTGTTTTCCTTAATATACAGGATAAAAACAAAAATGGATGCCTAAGGGATTCGAACCCTGTACATCTGTGAGCTGGAAAATTTCAAGTTTAAGCATGCATCCATTATTGCGTCGTCGACTTCATGTTCTTAAACAGCTTTCTCCTTACATATACATTGTATTATTAATTTATACAAAATACACATAATATATATAGGTATTTTTTTGAAAGTTCACGGGGTCCCGGGACCCCGTGGGACCCTTAGTGGGTCCGCCACTGCTTATAACTAATCTTTTGTTTTCTGGATGTTTCGAAATTCTATCATCGTCCATTTCAATCATTAATTTGTGATTCTTATTATTGTTCATTGTCGACACAAATATCAATCACACAGTTTTTACTTCATTATTTCTCATATGAGTCAAACATAGTAAAATTTTAGGGGAGTATGTGGAAGAGCATGAGGGCCGGCTAGTGATGAGTTGCTATCGAAGTGATTAAAACATTACACAAATAGCGATGTTGCAATTGAAGTTTATAAAATGTTTTTAATGGCAAAGCATACACAATTAACGTTAAGAACATGCATGTCTGTTTCATATGTAAGCGGTCTATTTTTCAAAACAAAACTACACTTGAACAATGAAATCATAAAATTATACAACAAGTCAAGAAAAAATCAGATCATAGCAAAGATTGATTACCAATGAAAACATCATTAGTCTGCTATTGGGTACGGTGATTGGATTATCGGACGATAGCTCAATTTCAACGTATAAATATAGCGTAGAGCGTGTTACATGTATGATACTTTATTTGACAATATTTTTAGTAAATCTGAGTTGAAATACGAAGGAACGTAACAAAACTGTTTCAGAATTCTTTATTTGTTTTCTTTGAAAGTTCTTAGTTTGCTAAACAATTCTCGAATACCCCAATAAAATTATGAGGTGCCAAATTTACATATTCACATACCATATCCCATGCCATGAGTCATGAGAGCCGAAAGAGGTATTGCGTATTGAGGGAATTTGAGTTTGCACCCCATTTTATTGTCCAAATTAGACTTTGCATCCCGTTTTTAAAAATCTTTTGTTTTTGCACCCCAACTCCATATGAAAAGACAAAAATGCTCCTCCATTAGCAATTCCGTTGGCCTTCAACATATTCCTGATTGAGGGCATTTTGGTTTTTTCATATGGGGTTGGGGTGCAAAAACAAAAAAATTTAAAAATGAGGTGCAAAGTCCAATTTAGACAATAATATGTGGTGCAAACTCAAATTACCCCTTGAATATTTACAACTACATTTGGTTAAGTTGTATTTAAATGACTTAAATATAATTTTCTACTCTTCCTCAGGTCTAATTAGACATGGTATATTTGAATCTATTCACAGCCGGCTTAGCCTGTTTAAATTAGGGTTGGACTCGGGCCGGGCCAACCGGCCCGAAACCGGACCGACCCGCTACTGTGCAGGCCCGGACCGGCCCAGTGAACCGGTTGGTTGGCCAGTTCGGGCCACCCGGCCCGGTGGGATGGCGGTTCGGGCTCGGGCCCTTCAAAAGGTGAACCGGCCCGGCCGGTTCGGGCCCGAGTCAATTTTTTTTTTTTTTTGAATTTTTTTAAGTTTTTGGGTTGGGTTGGGTATTTTGGGCCATTTGAGGTGGTTAAGGTTGGTTTGGGGGTGAGGAGGAGGGGTGGGGGTTAACTAGGACACGCCAAAAAAAATAGAACCGAGGCCCGACCCGGCCCGGACCCAAGGGTTACCCGGGCCAGTTCCGGGCCTCCCATACCTTGAACCGAGGCCCGGCCGGTTCAAGGCCTGAACCGGGCCTGGCCCGAACCGAGTCCATCCCTAGTTTAAATTAGATGACTATTATGTGTATTTTACTATTGTTTAAGTCTAACCGGACCTGATCAGGTTTAAATTGGTCCAGAACTGAAACTAGTCCAACAAAAACATCCAATTTTTGCACTAAGAGTTGCCAATGTACTCTGTAGAATAGCCCTTTGCTCATAAGAGTAGATAAATCACCTTGAGGATGACCATAGCTTGAATATCTCTATTACACCAAGCAACTATATCCGTCTACATACCTCTTTGTAGTTGATTATATTGAATGTTGGATAACGACTAATCCTCTGGCTCTTCATATTCTCATATTTGAGTGTTAGTACATATTTTCTAGCTTCCACTCCTCTTGCAGTGTTTAAATTGATTACCAAACAACAACTTTCATTTTAAGTCTTGAGGGACCAAAAGCCGGAGCACTGCCCCCTCCGTCCGTCGAGCATTTCTACAAAGTATGGCGTGTGGGAGGGGGCAAAAGAATTATATGGTATTGCTTAAAATTTAAAGAGATGGGGGCACATACCCCAGCTTATACTATACCCCTCCCCTCAGTTGATCCTAACGAGATTTCAAGAAGATTGACACTTTTTTCAAATCCAGAGAGATAAGGCGCTCAATTTCTATATCACATAGTTTTGATGCATTAAACCCTAATATCACTAACCAAATACTCAATCAAGTATAGGACATTATGTGATTAAAAGTGAAAATGTCACTGTACAATTTACGTGAAGTTATAAAATGATGGTTTACAGTTAATTGTAGGCTTGTAGGCTTTGTAGCCTCATAGGTGAAAAAAAATACTAAATGAAAAATAACTTTCAAGATAAAAAAAAAATCCCTCATCTAGTGCACGCCTTAAGCTTAGATGACATGTATGTCCGAAGGACTGGGATTACCGTCTTCTTCCGCTAGCTTAGCCTTAGACTTGGGTGGGGCCCGTGACATGGAGGAGAAACTGGACCCAGAAGACACCGCTCTGGACTTCTTTCGTTTCTGTTTCCTCGTTTGGGTGGCCCCACTGATCTCTCTTGTAGCTGTTGAATCGTCTTTGCAAAATTCTGGTGATGATGGTTTACGACCACTATTACTGATCGAGGATGAAGTAAAGTCCGGCCCAGCCTTGAACTCTTTCATCTTCAGTTCCATATTAACAAAGAACAAATACTTTTTCAAATGAATATTAGGAACCAAGAAAATCAGGAAAATGTGTTACAATACTTGATATTATTATATTGAATGTACTGTATTTTTATTTTGGAATAGTGCAACTATCACGAATCATCAGTCAGACTTCTTTACTAGAAAACTCTGGTAAGAGTAATTCGAGTGAAATGGCCGAAATTTCTTAATGGAATGTGTTTGTAAAATTTTGTTAAGCCAAATAAGTAACACTTTCTACTTTTTCTGATTATATCTTGCTCAATCTATTGACAAGCATCTACTATTTCCCCTTGGAACAACTTATTTTAGATGTGACTGCTATTTTAAGCAAGTTTTTGACAAACTACAAACAGTTTAACTCTGTTTGATAAAAATGGACTCTTCAGAAATAATGTTTAAACATTTTTTTAATGGAAGGACTGGTTTTGAAACAGTTTAGCCGTGTTTGATATAAATGGACTCTGTTTTGAGGAGACAAATTGTTTATACATCTCTCAATGGAAGGAGTAATAGATTAGATAGTCAAATTTTGACATTTTATTTAACAAAACATTAAATTATGAAATACGGAGTATTTGATAAATACATACCCAAGTAGGTGCACTGCCTGCAGATTGGCCATCCCACCCAATGTGTGCTACATGCTTAACATCCGTTGGGTAACCGATCTCGATATCTTCCTCCTTCATCACTATAAACATTTTTCCTCTTTTTCATTGGCTTGTCAAAAATTAAACAATGATTACATGAAAAAGTACACTCATTTGGTGAGCAGAAAGGCTATACCAAAAATATTTGAAATGTATTTGAATCCTGCTTTGAAAGTCCCCTTCATCATGGCATCCATGAAAGAGACCCAAAATAAATAAGCCCAAAATAGCAGCCTTCTTATCCTAGGAGTGTTGCAATAAGCACTAAGTTCAAATTATTCCTCTTCCTGCCAATAACAATTTCACAAAACATTAATTTATCAATCTTTTTTCTTGTAATTTTCCCATGTATTAAAACAATTGACTACACATGCTAATATATGCATTAAAATACATGTTCATTGATAGGCATCTTAAAACATAAAAAAGATTACTCTTACATAATGAAGACAATTTTACAAAAACACTGTCGCATGGTTTATAAAAGAGACAAAATCCATTTGACATGCTCATCGCAGAGGTGAAATTATTATAACCCAAGAATCATAATATGTCGATGTCAGGTTTTCGGATTTTTAAAAATATTATTCTTGTCTCTTTTGGGTAATCCAAAGCAATGGATCATTTGATAAGAACCCAATGACAGAGACGAACTGATTACTGCAAATAGAACAAAGAAAAATGAATTGATTGATCCATCATGCAAAACCAAACAAAAACAAAACAAATAATTACCTTGTCAAAGATCATTTAATGGAAGCATGGTAGAACAAGAAAGGAGATGAAAAACAGAAGGTTTCTCCATTCTTGTCCTCACAACAACATTGTTTATAATCTTCCTTCAAGTATTGTAAAATAATATTTTTTTAAAAGCATTCATGCAGAATAACCAACATGGTTAATTACGCCAAGAATAAAAATATTGAATTAAAATCCGAATCGGTGGTTCCATGAGTGAAAATACAAATTGGCAGACAAGGAGAAAAATAAGTAACAAAAAACAATTAAAATATTATAAAGATGGTTCTTTGCTTAAAGAGGATTAACATCAATAGTCTTTTCAGTTTTTCCTGTTTCTTTTTTCTTGTTTGGAAATGAGAGATAGTATTGAGGAAAGAGAATGATGAAAAAAGAATCAGACAAATGTGGGGTAAAAAATAAAGTCTAGAAGATGGTGGACATCCACAAAACCCAATCATAAGAAAGACTTAGATTCTTTAGGAAAAAATAGTTTTTTTATGGGGGCGGGGTCACAATCAAATAAGGAATCAGGAGCATAACATCCAAATGGAACACATAGAATATGCATTACTTTATTAGAAGTTCTCTTTAAGTTAATTAATACGGAGTATATAGTATACAAATCAATCGTTCTCATACCCTCCTTATAATGGGCCGTATCATATTCAGCTATTAGCCCCTTAACAGTGGTTAGTGGATAGTCTTAGCGTATTGGACAAGCGGATTGGTTTAACAGCTATATATGTTTCTTTTTGCCATATAATACTAGCAAAAAGATCAAAAACAACAACAATTGTGAAAATAAAGGTTGGATAAATGTTCAGATTATACCCGTAATAAATGAATCGAGCTAAAATCCCATAATTGTATATAGACAATATAATAATCTAGAGTACAAATTTATACCCCATTTGTCACATTTGTCTGTCCTATCTTTTTAATGTTTCTCTCAAACCATATTTGTATATAATTACGTGCAATATAATCATTCATGCTATACAAGTTCATTATCCATCTTCAACAACATAATACCACTTTATCTTGTAAAACATTGTAGGGCATAAGAAGTATAACTGCATAGTGGTGAAGGGTAAACATTATAATCAAGAAGACTTTCCAATTATGTGTATTATACTCTGCATTATTCAACTTGAATATATTTTCTTTAAGCTGTGAACATAATTATAGGTAAAGTATGTGCACGTACGAGTGTATGTTATGGGGAAGTGGTGAACATAAATCTTAACGCCTTGTTGGTAGCACTAATCAACTATTTAATGTCTACATGACTTTTTACATTGATTGGCCATGGTGTAAAGAATTTTGTTTACATAACTTTGACACTTTGTACACAGCTATTATAATCCAAAAATGATTAATCCAAAAAAGCATTTCCTAAAATCCTGAATGGTCTATTTGAGTTGTTTTGGAGGAAAATTAGAACCTGATGCTATAAAATTAAAGCAATAGTTCTTACCTTTCCTAGTCATGTCTTCAGATATTAAAGAAGTCACTTAAATCCAGAGATCAACTGCTTATATTTCTTTCTATCAGGTTTGAGCCCCATCTTCAACATTTCGTCATGCACACTCATGGCTTTTCTGAAATTCTTTTCAAGACAAAGGCCTCTAATGATGATTGAAAAACTCTCACAGCTTAGCACATTATGCGCTCTCATGTAATCAAATATCCTGATCGCTTCATCAATTTCTTTTTCTCTAAACAGCCCATTAAGCAGTATAACGTATGTGGACACATCAAAATTACCACCAAGTCCCTCAACCTTGGCATGCAAAGAAATAGCAGAATTAATCCGCCTACTAAAACAATAATGCTTCACCAACAAGGTAAAACAGAAAGATTTCGGCAAAATACCTTTATCTAGAGTTACATTTAAAAGCTCCTCAGCTTCTTTCCACCAACGGTTCTCACATTGAGAATTTATATACTTAGAGATTTTATCCAAACAATGAGTTAATGGCAGTGTTAATCCCTTTTCTATCAATCCTTTCAACAGTCTATTAACATCCTCTGAAGGATTCTCTTCACATAACGCACTCAGAAACGGGAAAAGATATTTATCATTATCAATAATATCAATATTCTTCGCCACCATATAATCATAAAACTCAATAGCATCCTTTACTCGTCTCGCATTTGACAATGATCTTAGCATCGAACAATAAGTTGTTACTTTAAGGTCAACCATTTCAGTTTTGGCTCTCCTGTAAAAAAGTTCTGCAGCGAATGTCTTCTCCAAATGAGAAAACTTCTGGATTATTGAATCATATTCATTCAGTAAAAGATTTGGAAGACATCCCTTACCGACCATAGAAGTAATGACATCATTAATCACTTGAACCTCATGATATTCACAAGCCCCGTCTAGAATAAAGCTGAAAGTGCTAAAGCTGGGATGAAATCCTTTATTATGCATTTCATCTACATTTAAAAGAGCAGATTTAAAATCCCCTCTTTTACTATAACCCTTGATAATGAGATTATACATTGCTGGGCTATATATACCCATATCCAGAATTTTATTGATCCTTTCAAATTTGCCATCTTTAGATAGAGCTTGAGCAATCAAAGACCAAGTAAACAAATTTCCAGAAACCCCATCTCGAATCATCAGACAGTAGAAGCACCATAGCAATTTGATTTCGTTTTTCTCTAGAAACCCCCCTAGCAATGAATTGCAACTATGAACTGAAACTAAACCGCCATAATCTTTAGACTTGTGATAAACTTCGAGAGCTTCAGTAAGCAAACGGCTATTGGAATAACACTCAAGTAACGAACTCAGCAAAGAAGAGCGAGTATCAAAGTCGATGCCTTTAATCAATGAACTGACAATCAGCGTTGCAGGATAAGCTTGAACTAGAGAATCCAATATGGGTTTTGATTGTGTTGATAGTGTGGAAGCGCACAAAACCCCAGCAAGTTTACAAAGGGTTTTGAGGTCTGGGTTAAACCCTAGATTTTTATTGGCATAATTGAAGAAGGTGAGGGAAGCAGCGGGATAGGATTGGGTCTTGTGGAAGATCTGAAGGAAGAGATGAGGGGTGAAATTGGAAGAGTTGAGGTTGAAGGGCTTGAGAAGTGACGCCCAGTGGCTTCTGTTCCTCTGCGTGACAATGGCGGCGATTTGGTTGACCAATTGGGCATGTTTGACTTGTGCTCTCCAATCTGGTTTGAGAAGCGTAAGGGGAGGTGTTGAGAATGAAAAGTTGCTAAGGTGGAGATGGTGAGGTTTCGGACGGAGTAACGTCTGGGCTAGCTGCAGCCTGCCAGGAAGCATGGGTAAAGTTCCACTTTTGGAAGGAGAAGACGTGCAACAGCTACGAGGCTTCCTACATCTTTTGCTTCAGCTTTGCGAAGAAGAGCAAAGATGGTTTTAGTGAGTTAATTTGATTGTGGGATTTGTGGGGGTGTTTTAAGTCTGGTTTGGTCTCCCCTCAATTAGTTTGTACTCCGTATTTTTTTAATAATTGTCTGTCTTTATTTTACAACTATAAAAGTATTATCTTGATTTGATCTTGTTTTTTTAAGTCTGATCTCATCCATTTAAGTTTGATCTGAAAACGGTTCAAATAAAAACATCACTTAATTATCTATTTCACGCCATTTTCTATTTAGAGATCCAAAAGTAAAATATTTATACACTAGTATTTGTACCCGTGACATTCACGGAATAAAGTGATTTTGCTTTTTTAGTTCTACTAATAGAAATTTACTTATGCAGTCGATTATAACATTGATTTGCATATTCTACTATAGGTATACCAACAGTAATTGATTGTCGGTATAAAATACCGTGAGATGACAATTAGTTTGTAGTGTCTTATTTTTGAAATAATTATCTAAAATGTTTTCAATCTATATTTTCTAATAAAAAGAGCAATTTATTTATAACTATGTTGCATCCAAAACAAATTAATATTTTCAACTATCTTTACCTAAACAAAAAATGTTTAATGCCTATTTTTATCCATTAAATTTCATCTGTAGTTTACTGTTTTTTTTTTCAAAATTAAATACACATTTTTGTAATTTAATGGTCTAAAAAGGGGTGTAGTCATTTTTTGAAGATATTAGCCCTTCTAGACTTAAGAATTTTGCAAATTACTCCTTCGGCCTCTTTCTTTTATAAAGAGTTTAGGATATATAGTATTTTGATAGTCTGATTTTAATGAAGATGATGGTTGAGACAATAGGTTTCCTTTTGTGATTGGTAGCAATCAATTTATTTTTCAGTAGGTTGAGTTATTGAGTTTAATATGATCTTATTAAGTTAGTAAAATAAGTGTTATTGAACGAAGAACGGTTGCATGCTTTAGACTTTTAATAGACAATTTTTGTAAGTCAATGGTCTAAAAAGGGGTGTAGTCATTTTTTTGAAGATATTAGCCCTTCTAGAATTAAGAATTTTGCAAATTACTCCTTCGGCCTCTTTCTTTTATAAAGAGTTTAGGATATATAGTTTTTTGATAATCTGATTTTAATGAAGATGATGGTTGAGACAATAGGCTTCCTTTTGTGATTGGTAGCAATCAATTTATTTTTCACTAGGTTGAGTTATTGAGTTTAATATGATCTTATCAAGTCAGTAAAATACTACCTCCGTCCCTTAAAACTTTGCCAAAGTTGACCGGCACGGAGAATAATAAAGTAAAAATTGTGTGGTTGAGGTTTGTGCAGAGGAGAGAGAAATAACAGAAACCACAAAATAATTGATTAAAAGGGAAAGTGCCAAAGTTTTTTGGGACGTCCCAAAAAAGAAAGATGACAAAGTTTTAAGGAACGGAGGGAGTAAGTGTTATTGAACGAAGAACGGTTGCATGTTTTAGACTTTTAATAGACAATTTTTACCTAGAAGGTCATATGAATAAAACCTATAACAGATTCTAATCATATCAAGAGGTAGCTATAACCGAAACACTGTCAAACTATGCAATGAAAAATAATTCAATCGGTATATATATTGTTGATCAAATTCGTATATTAAATTTTGTTAGTAGTTCTACTTATTGTGGATTTTTAATTTTGTTCCGTATAAAACTTTTAGGTTTCAGATTTTCATGGCAACAGTACGTAAATGAAAGAATTAATTCAAATACATTAGTTACGGTTATAACGTTATTGTTTTAACATACGTCAATTGTATCCTCAAAAGAGCTTAAGATCTATTAGGATTTCACCGTCTACATATTTCCTTTAAGTATAGATTTTAACAACCATATCAATAGCAATCTTATATACTCCTTCCGTCCCAAATTGTTTTGCAAAGTCAAAATTTTTTGGTCAACCATTTTAAAAATGGATATTTAATTTCATTTTTAGTGATTAAAATTTACATATTCAGAAACTACATTAAAATCTCTTCAAAGTTGTATACTTCAAATTAGAATATAATTTAAATTTGACATCCTAATTAAGCGAACAAAACGAAACTATTTGACCAAGAAAAATCAAATTTGCAAATCAATTCGGGGCGGAGGTAGTACGTCATTACATATGAACATTCACTAGTCACTGCCATAATAAATACGATACATAAATGATACACAGACCAAGTGTATTTCTTATGATGGTACTCCCTCCGTCCCTAAAAGGATTGTCATATTTGACTGACACATAGAATAATAAAATAAAAATTGTGTGATAGAGATTTGTACAGAGGAGAGAGAAATAACATGAATCACAAATTGATTAATTAAAAGGGAAAGTGGCAAAGTTTTTGGGACAATCAAAAAAGAAAAGTTTGCAAAGTTATAAGGGATGAAGGAAGTATTAAATAGTGATGCATTTATCTAGAATATTCTATGTAGAAAAGGCTAGAAATGTTCTAGAGAACTATAGTTAAAAGTGTTCTATAGAATTCTTTACTAGAGAATTATTATGTAAAATCTAGATTAGTTAAACTTAGTTGTAGAATAGGGAAAACTGTCAAATAGGTCCTCGAATTTTCATTAAAAGGTCAATTAAGTCCTTCTATAGGAGGTTCTGTCCGGCCGTCGCGATTTGGGGCAGTTCCCGGTGGAATATTTTTATGAAAGTTTTTGAGAATCTTATTCACCAAGTCTAGTTTACTTATACCAAATTTCAGCTAAAAGTTCAATCAGAAACTCATTCAAATTAAATCTTGAAGATAACTGCGCATTTTTGCGTTCTCAAATTGATTTGAATGCGCTCCTGATTAAATTTTTAGCTGAAATTTTGTTTGAGTAAAGTAGACTTGATGAATAAGATGCTCAAAAAAATTCATCAAAAAATTCCACAGGGAACCACCCCAAATCGCGGCGACCGAACAGAGTCTCCTATAGAAGGAATCAATTGACTTTTTTATGAAAGTTCGAGTACTTATTTGACAGTTTTCCCTTGTAGAATACTCTAGATTTCTACTTTCTAGCATTTAATAAGGATCTAGAATGATGAGTTTAACTAATCATATCAAGAGATAGCTATTTTCTTATACACTACCTAAAACACATCCTCTACTCTAAAACACATCCTCTACACTACACCTCACTAAAATCAAATATCCTACCCATACAACCAACAACCTCTACTATTTTCTAAAGTTCAAATCCTCAACAAAAATAATCAATATACCCAAACAATAATAAATAAAGTATATATATTACACCAATATACACTCGATCAAAACTGAATAGATATTCAATATAACGTGTGTAAAAAAGATGAGAAGCCATATACTCCAACATAGTAAAGCTTAAGCTTAATGGACACGAGGAGGACTGGGTGTGACTGTGCGTATGTAATGCTGTATGATCAGTCCCACGGACTTAGCCAACACTCCTCAAGCTTAGTCGGATATCGGGTGGTGTCCGAACAGTAGTCATAGATCACAAGGTTCCTGAGCACCCAAGCATAGTCCACCTGCTCATCAGCGGAGAGATGCCATGACTTGTACTGGTCCCACCAGTTCTGTGTTGTGGTGGAGACGCATTCAGGGTAGGGATCCTCCCACCGGCAAGCATCCACATTGTAGTCCTTGTAGGTTGAGACGAATGGTGCATTTTTCCAGTCTGTCTTCTCCATACCGCCCCTTGTTGCCCAGTCATCAGCATTCCATATGCTTGAGAACAGGTACATTGGCTTCTCAATGGGGAAGAAGTTGTTTGTGTAGTTTGCATTTTTGTATACTCTTATTGGAACCCTATCCACATAGAACCTGTTGATCATCATAGAAAACAAGCTCATCGGCGTGTGTTTGGTAAAGCCGAAAAATATAACTTTGTCAATTTGCTACTATGCATTTGTTAAAAACCATTACTCCCAAAGCTCTCAGCTCATTCTTAACATTGCCAGTCCTAACTACATTATCAGAACATGGTCATTTTTATAAGGCAAAAATGCCACGGAATGGATAGGACAAGACATTCGTGTTTAGGGATTCAAAAACTAGGATGCAGAAGTTATATTTTACTCCTACATTGGACCTTTTCATAGTTTTATAGTCAAGCATAATCAGGGCTTGTTTTTTATGACAAAGTTTGTTAAAAAGTTTGATCTTTAAGACAAAATCACATGGAAGTTGGGGCTAGTATTGATTGGCCTAAACCATCCATCAGTATACCACTTTACCAAAAGAGAAATATGTATATGGTGCTTACACAATCATATGTGGGTTCCAACGAATAGAATAGGTATGGAAGTCCTCGGTTGGGTCAAACCAGAGAACATGGCGCATCTCACGCCCACCGGTGCCATTCTTGTACACATTGGTTTGTATAAGGTAAGGTTGCCCTGTTCTGTTCCCCAAGAACTCGAAATCCAGCTCATCTCTGCTACCCCATCCTGGCCCTTTATCATCATATTCAGAACACATCTGCACCGTAAACAATCACCCACCCCACCATTATTTCCTGTGTTCCAAAATACCCATCTTTTTTCCAAAGGAATTTTATGATCTAAAATTTCATACGTTTGGATTTATTTAATTTTTTATTAATTCCATTGCTAATTTTTGATAAACTTTTCTTCACACAAGTTTATTAGTTTCATAAAACTAAATAATATTTAAAAATTTTAAGAAAAAAATTAATAAAATTTCGGACAACTTAGGTCCTAAATTGATAATTTCCAATCATTCAAGTTCTAAACCGATAGTTTTCCATCATTCGTGTCCTATATTGAAACATTTCATCTTTTAGGTCCCGGATTGATAATTCATCTGTCTTTTGGGTCCTAAATTGATAAAATTCCTTTTCAAAAGCACTGATTCTTCTACATCTTATAGAAATAGTAATTATACAACTTTTAAAAATATCTATTAGCACAATAATACGTTTTTGTACACATGTTAAAGGACAAAAATTTGAAACGACTCAACTCACATAAAAAGCTGTGACAACCCCAGCTGAGTCACCACCCACCAATTTCAGCTTCATGCTGAACCAACCAAATCTGTATCTATGCTTAGTAGCAAACCCACAACCTGTATCAAAAAATAATGTACCCAGTACACTTTAATCCCACCCGTCTCTATTTATTGATCTTTCTCAAAGTCAAACTATTCAAGCTTCTCCCTTTATACAATTTTGACTCTTAATAAAGTTATCTGATAATAAATATATACATGCACACGCATATATACATTAATATTAATAATTAAAAATTATAGTAAGAAGTTTTATTCAATCACAAAAAACTTGATTTGAATTGAGAAGATTCAAAATAATCAACTTGACTATGTGAATAATGTAGAAGGCTTAAATTTAGAAGGAAGAAGTACTTCATTTGGCCCAAACTTTGGGAGAAAACTAATGAAAATTTGATATATGACTGAATTTAATGGTGCATTGGTCATTAGTAAAAATTTAGAGAAAAAATGGTAGTTTGAATAAATAATAGAGTTACAAATAAACAAGTTCAACAATATATCTCACAATACAGTTTTTTAGATCATAAAAGAGTTGCCGTTATATTAAAGGGAAAAATAATAAAAATACCTCAAACTTTGAAGGGGTGTGAGATAAACACCCCAAAATTGCATATGTAATTTAAATATCTCAAACTTTGTACAAAAAGTTATTTTCTCACCATTGTCATATATTATTTCTTTCAAAAATGTAAATTTATGAGATTAATTGCATAATTTAAAATATTTTAGAATTCACGAAGACATGATTTAAATTATAAAGCTTCATTGCGAAATAAATAATGTTACCCCCAATCTACATAATTGCAACACTTTTAATTTGCTATTTTAAATTATGCAATTAAACCCATAAATTTACATTTTTAAAAGAAATAATACATGGCAATGGTGCGAAAATAACTTTTTATATGAAGTTTGGGGTATTTAAATTACATATGTAAGTTTGGGGTGTTCATCTCACACCCCTTGAAATTTTGGGGTATTTTAATTATTTTTCCCTATATTAAAATGTGATCAAATAGAGTGTCTAAATAGCGCAAATGTCAAATTGTTGTTGCAATTAATTAAGAATTGATAAAGTACTATTTTTCTTTAAATTAGAATAATTTATTTATTTCTTAGTACGTTCCAAAACCTAAAATAGAAATTTTTTATTAATTTCAGAAAGCATGGACGGAGTATTAATAACTTCTTAAAACATGAACAGTTGAACATTATCTCTGCCTCTCTGGCATGTCTCTCTCTCTATATACAGAGTACTATATAAGAAGTAAATGGGTTCAATCAATTGAATTTACTCAAATTGATTGAATTGAATGAATATGCTTAATTCGGGAAGAATTATATTTAAAATAAAATATACTGTATTTTAGTTAGAAAGTAATTTCAGTCTTACGTTTTTTTATTACTGCACAATACAGTGCACATAATGAAAAAAAGTACTCCCAAAGATGTTCATACAGTTTAGAAGACCCTTAGTAAAGGTTAATCATGTGCGGAGTACATGAGTTACTCATAAAGTAAAAAAAGAAGTAATAGTTGAAAAAGCAAATAATGTTAATTTTGTGGATAACTTATAAATTCATTAAAAAATTGAGAGTTATAAATTCATTAAATTGATACTTATTAAATTACCAGAAGTTACAATTTACAAATTAAAGTAAATTAAGAAGTCTGCAATATATAATACATTAACATGCCATTTAGAGATAGCAAGTGTCCATTAATGTGTAAATATAATTGTAAATTGTCATGTTTCGTAAATTTAATGAGATCTGGGATATGAATAAATGATATTTAAAAAAGGACGAAATTTGCGTTTAACTTTGAGAAAATCAACTGTAATCGGTAAGGATGGAAACATAACCTGCTTCTTTGTCTAGAGAGAGATACCAGATCTGCCCATCTTCAGAGGTTTTAAAGTTCGTGTCTGGGCAGCTTTTGCTGAAGTTGTCGTCAAATGAAGCAGAAGTCTGGGCCAGGCATGCTGGTGATAAAAGCGCCATTAGAGAAGCAGTGAAGAGGAGGTTAGCCGCCATTGATGAAGATGGCTTTCTCTCCATCCCCATTTTAGACCAATGGATTCGAGCTCTTGGGAGAAACAGAGAAGCTAGCTAGCTGGAGGTGAGAGTTCTTAAATGTAGAGAAGAAGATCTGTGCATTTTCCTTTCTAATAAAAGGGTGGAATTAAGTAAGAACTTGGTTTAATCTTCCCAAGGTATGGTCCCCAAATCAATCAAAATAATATGATTGACGCTATATGTGTAGATTTGTGGATCCCATGACAACTGTTCTCTAATAAAACTTGTATGAGAGTTCTTGATTAGTTAGTTTACGCGCTTGTTTGGCACTCTTCTTTATTACTCCGTATATAGTTTTATTTTATTTGGTCCAAGAGGTGGAATCTCCCACCCTAGGAGCCCCCCATACCCCGACCTGACAGGATTTTTGGGAGGATGTTAATCACGGTGACTCAGTCGGCCCAATGATGGTAGGTCTTTTTCCCGTGTGCACCAGAGGCTCAGCCTTATTTCAGGTTCTGTGACCTCCACACGGCCGCTGCGGGTTTCGAACCTTGGTCATTTAGTCCAAATTTCCCACCACTGAACTAACTGAGCTACCCGTGCGGGTGGTTAGTTTTATTTTATTAATTTTATTATTATGAGCCGTTTGACAACTCGAGAATTCATTATTTCGACTTAAATTGCTTAAAATATGATTGAAAATAATTCATTACTAAAAAAAAGGATGACACCCCATCCCTGAGGGCCCCCCAACCCCGACCGGACAGTACGTTGGGAGGATGTAAGTTGGACTATAATCTCAATCTGACAGATAGAGAGTGGGGCTCTGTCCCCGGTACTTACAGAGGCCCTATGCATTTTTTAGCATAGTAACCCCTCATCGCAGTTGCCGGGATTCGAACCCGGGACCTAACCCTTGTGGCACTCCCTTCCTACCAGTTGAGCTACGCTCACCGGTCATTACTGAAACAATTGTTCGGCCTATATTAATTACTTCATAATTAAGGGCGTAAAATAAAAGATTAGTGTTCGATCAAAATGAGCTAATAAAATTTATAACCCAAAAAGAGTGACCAAATGGGCACACTTATGAAACTTAATCTAGAGGACAATTCATGTCCATCTGGTTTGACGGGAATTGCCGTCCGACCGAGGGCATTTCGGGCACTTCCCTGTAGAAATTTTTTAAGAAATTTTTTGAGCACATTCCTTATCAAATATAGTTTACCTATACCAAATTTCAACTAAACCTTCAATCGTGAATGCAGTCAAATAATTTTTTAAAGATGATTGCGCTTTATATATATAAACAGCGCAGTCGTTTCGAATTACACGTTTGACTACCTTACTGATTGAACTTTTAGTTGATATTTGGTATGAATAAACTAGACTTGTTGAAGAAAATGTTTAAAAAAATTCATCAAAAAATTTCACTGAAAAGGTACCGAAATGCGCTCATCCAGATGGCAGTTCACGTCAGGCCCGCTGGACAGGAACATGACTCACTTAGTTCTAGTCATAAATAAATACTCCCTCCGTCCCGGAATTATCTTCATACTTTCCTTTTCGGTCTGTCCCAAATTTATTTCCGCTTTCCCTTTTTAGCAAAGAATTTGTGGTTCACAATCATTCTTACACATTCTTACACATTTCTCTTTCCTCTGATCTGCACAACTCTCCACCACATATTTCCCACTATCTTAATCTGTGTGCCATTTGTATTTCAGGAGATAAATATGGGACGGAGGGAGTATGTAGTATTTACTTTGGTCATGCACGGATATGAAGAGAAATAAAAAAAATGTGATTTATTAAGTTAAATACATATGCATGACGTGATGAAAGAAATTATTGAGATACATTCAAAATCGAATAATTGACTAATTTGCAGGTTGAGATGGTTAATAATGACAAAATGGAAAATTTTGTATTTGTATATCATAAGTATCTCAATATTGGACTTTGCACTTGTGGGAAAAAATATGGGAAAACTGTCAAATAGGTCCTCAAACTTTCATAAAAAGATCAATTAAGTCCTTCTATAGGAGGTTCTGTTCGGCCGTCGCGATTTGGGACAGTTCCCGGTGGAATTGTTTGATGAAATTTTTTGAGCTTCTTATTCACCAAGTCTAGTTTACTCATACCAAATTTCAGCTAAAACTTCAATCGGGAACACATTCAAATTAATTCTTGGAGATAACTGCGCATTTTTGCGTTCTCGAATTAATTTGAATGCGCTCCTGATTAAATTTTTATCTGAAATTTGGTATGAGTAAACTAGACTTGATGAATAAGATGCTCAAAAAATTTCATCAAAAAATTCCACCGGGAACCGCCCCAAATCGTGACGACCAGACAGAGTCTCTTATAGGAGGACTTAATTGACTTTTTTATGAAAGTTCGAAGACCTATTTGACAGTTTTCCCAAAAAACATCTGAATTTGTAAACTTTGTATTGTTTACTTTGACTTCTCATTATAAATAGGGTTCGGGGTAAAATTTTAAGAATAAACACATTATGAACTTACTAATTACTTTTGAGGAAAAATCTATAATAATTACAAAATAACCTGCAAAAAAGTTACAAACAAATGAAATGGTTATTGTATCATTTTTAATGTTTAAGTGATGCGATATGTTAAACAAATCAAGATTAGTATTCTGTTTATATTCGGGTAAGAATGGCTAGTATTTACAATGAGATAACTCCTATTTATAGGAGAAGTAATTAAATCTGTGGGCGTTCTCGTCTGTTTTTAAAGGTTTCACCCTTTACTTGAAGGTTTCAGGATTCTTCCTAAAAAACAGGATACATCTTAACTAGCTGATCTTATCATCTTGTTATTGACGTAAAAATAGGGTTAATTATCAAAATAGGACTAAAAGTCACTCACTTTGCACAAATAGGATCTAAAAGTAAACTATGTTTTCATAAGACTAATTATGTGTGCTTTGGACAAATATACCATTCTAGTTATTGAAATGTTTTAATTCATAATAAAATAATAAAATATAATAAAAATTAGTAAAAATACTAAAAATTAATAAAAATATTTCGATAATAATAATTTATTTATTTGTTTATTTTTCAAAAAAAAATAAAAAAATAAAAAAAAATAAAAAACTCAAAAAATAAAAAAAAAATCACCTCTGTCTCTGCACCACCACCTTCAGTCATCAGGGGGGAAAATGCGAAGTTCATTACGAATGCCATATTTATGGCAGAAAACAATGAAAATGTTGGCATTCTCAAAGAGAAATATGTCATGTTTTTGGCATTTTCAAGAAAAAATGGCAGTTTTTAGGGAAAATGACATTTTTTCACCGGGCACAGTTTGATGGAGTCATCGCTGGGTTGGATCAGGCTGATGTTGACCTGCGCCTTCAGCTCCAGCAAAATGCTCCCGATGCCCGCCTTTGCATCGAAACCCAAAGGAGGGACCAGAGTGAAAATCAAGTGAGCCCTCCGGTCCTCACTATTGACGTGCAGTCGGCATTTTCTTCCTTCATCCAAACACTCACCCAGAATCCAGGTGTCTTCGACACTTTAGTACCACTTCAACCACAGGTCGGGGAGAACGCCATTCCTCCCCCTCCTCCGCCCCCCTTCGTGAACCCTATCCTCCGGCTAGGGAACACCGAAGGAGTCATGGCCCAAGACACTGCATTCCAGGAAGTCCAATCCCGGGACCAGTGCGGTGAGAACAAAGAGGGGCCTCGGACCTCCGCCCTCGAGAGGCTCGGAGGGGTGCAGGATCGCCGAGGGGTCCAAGACCGCCTCAGTGGTAGAACACTCCAAAGTCCTCAAGAAAGCGGGGGTTCAGTATCGAGGGCAGACGAGAGGCGTCCCCTCAGGATAAAGGAAAGGCACCGCTGCATGCCGATGACGCCAGACACCAAATCAACCAGGCACACTCACCCCGTGTACAATCACAGGGGGCGGAGGCCCTCTCGAAGGATCACATGGATGAAATTATTGAGACTCTCCAACGCCGCCTCGATGAAATGGAGGCCCGCCAAGCGCACATGACCGCTTCCACCTCGCAGGCGGACCCCAAATAGGTCGCCATGCTGGCCAAAATGGAGGAGATGCAGAGGAAATTTGCCGAGGGCTCTGGGGAACCCGTCGTCCAACTCCAGACTAGGATGCCATTCACCCAAAGGGTGTTGGTGGCCCAGATTCCGGGAAAATACTGAGGGCAACCCATCAAATCCTATGAAGGAAAGACTGACCCCCACGAGCACTACAGCAGATACCAGAACAGCATGATGATGATGGGGGCATCAAATGAATATTTGTGTCGTTGGTTCCTCTCCATTCTGGAGGGCCCGACATACGAATGGTTCAACCGGTTACCCGAGGGCAGTATTGACTCTTGGCAAGAACTAGCCCAACGCTTCTTGACGCAATTTGCAGGAAGGCATCGATCCAAGAAGCACTTCTCCCACCTACTCACAGTAAGGCAACAGAAGGAGGAGACCCTTCGGGATTTCCTTGAGCGCTAGAGGCTAGAGACGGACAAGGTTGACGGCGTCGACGATAGGACCCTTATGGCTCTCCTGCAAACGTTCTTCTGTACCGGCAACTTCTCCAGGAGCCTTATTATCGAGCCTCCATGTGACTATATAAAATCCCTCCAGCGGGGGGACCGATACGCGGAGGCCGAGGAGGTGTAGAGGTCCCATCGGAACCCGGAACAGCGACGCCCCAGGTAGGATGACAGGAACAACTGGGGGCCGGGGGCTTCATCCCACCATTCCAAAGGACAAGCGCCCTCCAGTGATCGCCCCCGGCATGGCCAAGCCAAACCCGGGGGAGGTTACAAGAGTAACCCGAAGGCTTGGGCACAGCCCATCCTCCTGGAGCACCCTTGGACTCCCCTTACGCAACCCATCAGCTTCATCCTGGATTATGCCAAGGAGAGGGGTCTCGTGGAGCGTGACTCCCGTGCACCCCTAAAGGTATATGCCATCAACCCCAATGAACCATATTGTCGCTTTCATCGTAACCAAGGGCACATGACCGATGACTGTCACCAGCTGAAGACAGCCATCGAGAGGTTGATACAGGCGGTGAATCTGTCCCAATTTGTCAGGGGGGGCCAGCATCAGGGGGCCCCTCGAGGGGCCACAGGCGAAGGCAAACGCCTGGATCAACCCAAACACTATCCCCTCGGCAACCCAAATGACAAGAA